CAGGAAGGGAGGGCCTGACATGAACAGAGCCTGGGAAAGGCCTGGTGTGAGTCTGTGCTAATTTCGGTAACCAAGGTGTTTGAGTCTAGCTGTCATATGGGACCAGGGGACAGAAAACGAAGCCTTGGGCTCAGTGAGGTGAGGAACTGTAACTGAGACAGATGCATGCATGTCACCCACAAAAATAACATTTCTGAGGAACAGTACTCTCAAGAAACAGTAGATTAGGAAAATCTCACTAAGCAGACATGAAAATAACAGAGCATATCTGCTTTGGATTGGGCTCTGGGTCTAGGACAGTAAAACATTTCCCTGAGATTTCAAAAATACAGACCTGCTTTCATGAAGGCTGTAAGTTTGAGTTTGACTATATGTGTGGTCTAGGACTCTTCAAACTAAGAATGTTGAGTTAACAATGGCCAATACTGGTAATAATATTCCCCAGGGAGACTCACTCCCAAATCCCCAGGAATCTCACAGATAAAGTCCCTCTTAAAATGAGCTTACAATACAAAATTGCAAAACAGAGGAAACAACCCACCATAGAGCACACTCCCACCACTCTCCCAAAAAACTCTGGAAAACAAAAATTGCCAAAGACTTAAAATATGCACATATAAGCAAAAAGATTTCAAACCCTAAAAATAAGTACTAAAAAAGAAAAATGTGCTATAAAAAAAAGAGGCAGCCTTCAAGAATTAGAACTTTAGAAATGAAAAATATAGCTAATGAAATTTTAAACTCAATGCAAATTAATTAAATGGCAGATTAGACACAACCAAAGAATCACAGAACTTAGATCTCAGGAAATCACCCAGAAGTCAGCATAAAGAGAGAAAGCGAGCATATTTTCCTAAGCTGTCACCTCTGAAATGACAAGCCACGGTGTGGAAGTTTAGAGGAAAGACATCAGCCATAATGTACCCAGTTCAGACTCCCCAAACCTCTAGCCAAAATCATGTCCAATAAGCAGCCAACAGCCAAGACCTAGGTTAGACCAGACACGGTGAGACTGCCATGTTCTGAACAGGGTAAGCCAGTGTGAGGCATGACTGGAAGTTTAGTTTTAATTCTTACTCACTGTATTATTTTAAATAAGCCATTTTACTATAGTTAATAATCAAGGTTTGCTATCTTGAAAAGCGAATTATAGCTTGACCCAAATAAACTAAAATATGACAGACCTAACGCAATCCAGTAGAATAAAGAGGTCATTTTTGGAAAATGATGAACAGGAGGAAAAGTCTAAGTTGATCATCCTATCATCAAAGACCTGTGTCTTTACCAACTCAAGCAACATTTGGAATAAACCTCTGTTTTCACAGATAAATGCACAGAGAATAAGATCACTTAACCATCTAACCAGGGATTTAATTTATGAGATATAAAGTTCTACTCCCAAATTATAAACCAACTGTCCTAGCAACATTTAAAAATAATCCTTCCCTTTCCTATGGGCGTATGATGACCCCTTTACTATAAATTCAATCTTTAAATATAATCATATTTGTTCCAGAAAATCTGATTTTGCGTTATTTTAATGGCTGTAACTTTATATGCTATGATTTTTCTTTTTAAAAAATATATCTTTATTGATTTCAGAGAGAGGAAGGAAGAGGGAGAGAGATAGAAACATAAATGATGGGAGAGGCATTGATCGGCTGCCTCCTGTACGCCCCCAACTGGGGATTGAGCCCACAACCCAGGCATGTGCCCTGACCAGGAATCGAACCGCAACCTCCTGGATCCTAGGTCGATGCTCACCTGCTGAGCCACAATGGCCAGGCTCACCTATTCTTTATTTTAAATAAGCTAGGCATTTTTGTCAAGTTTTAAAAAATATTCTACTTGAAGTAATGTTTTATTCTGATTATAAAGGAATGTAGTCTTAGAAAATAAAGAAAAAAATGAAAACCACCTTTAGTATTATTAGGGTACTTCAGACAGAAATTATGTAAAACGTTAAATAATCTGCAACACCTGACCTCTCATCCCTTATTCGAAACATGAGCTCTCACCCTGCACTGCTCCACCCGGCCCCCGGCCTCGTCCATCTCCTCCTTCAGGGTGTCTATCTTTGATGGGAGCCCCTGAAAGTTGGTTCCTGAAGATTTGTGAGCCTGGTTCCACCTGCAAAACACAAGGGGAGCCAATATTTGAGAACTAGCTGTACAAACTCAATCTTAGGGACCTCAGGGAGATAGACGCTTTCCCTAAAACTGATTCTACCTGGGACAGGTACCCAGAGAGTACCTAGGACACCAGCTTCAATCCAAGTTTACCCTCTAAGGATGGAAAAAGGCAAAGGAGACATGAGCTTCCCACCATGACAGGATCTCGTCGTGCTAGGAGTAGCTGTCTGCTCCAAGCAGAACTGACCTCATCTTGTCTCACATAAGCCCCACTGCTGGAGATCAGTTCATGAAATCCCTTTCCTAGTGTCGTCATGGGATCCTTGCCATGAAGCACCTCCGCTCTCCTGCTTTGATTGGGAGTGTTCGCTGTCCCACCGGGAGTCAGCTCATTTCTTGAGGACTCCTAGGACTCTTCCTACTACCATCCTGGCAAGTAACAGCCTGAGCTCCAGCCAGGCAGCCAAGTACTTAGCAATGGATAGCTATGGAAGCACTTTAAGAATTAAAGACACTTGTAAGAATGAATATTCTAAAGACAAACCTACAGCAAATCTGAAACATAACATGGAATACTTATATTTCAAAGTGAAAATGACCAATGAAACAAGATTATACTGCAGCAATAATATGGAGGTTCATGGGGCGGGGCAACAACTGATTCATGCATTTAGTGGAGTGGTGACTCTCCCCCCTCCCCAGCGAACAGCAATTAGTGGTGCATATGACAGCCAACGGCAGGTCAGGAGCCAGGACAGGCAGCACTGTCTCCACTTTTATAAGTCTGCAGTAAAAGCACCTGACACAAGGAAACTCAGGAAGTGAGCTGTGGCACCATGTCTGCCAGAGAGAAATAATCACGCCTGCTTCACAGGACTGAGTGAGAGCTAAGAGCTAACAGGCAGGTGCAGCTCAGCCACATGCTGTGTAAAAAAATGTTTTATTGGAGCACAGCCGCGCTCATGTACGGCCTGTCCAGGGCTGCCTCTGTGCTACACCAGTAGAGCTGAGCAGGTGCAACGGGAACCATGTGAGTTGCAAAGATGAAAACATTCACTTCCTGGCCCTTTACTAAAGTCTGTAACCGTGTGATAAAGTAGAAGGAAAGACCTGGCGGTGGTGCCCGCTTCCCTATTCCCGACTCCCAGGCCCAAGGAGACCCCCAGGTAGGTCGCTGATGCAAATATGCTTGAGGGTGGAGCGGAGGCTGTGGCCAGGCCACGAAGCATCAGACGGTCATCAGAGAGCAGCCCTCTGGGTGGTTAGTTTTACAGAGTGCTTCCCTTCTGAGCACAGCATCTGACTGAGGTGATCATAGCTACACAGGGGTTCTGACAATGGGGGCGCCCCAGGAGCTGCAAAGATCACAGATCTCATTACTCCCACACTCTGCTCTGCCAGAAGAAAAGCTCTCAGAACTGTATGGACCTTAAGACACTCAGATTTTTTTTTTCTTCCCTGTCTCTCTTCGTTACTGGCACAGTAAGACCAGGCTGGCCTAACACCATTCCTCCGGCCATGTTTGGGAGAATGAGGCCAAAAAGCAGGTGTCAGCAGGTCAGGCAGGTGACCCTGCAACACTTTTGTCTGTCCACACAGCGTCCTATCACCATGCTGGGGATGGGAATGGTGGCAGGGAGGTGACATGCTGCTGCATTACTGGTTTCTCTTACAGCTTTCCCTTACCTGGCTCTGACTGAGTCCCAGTCTAACACCAACTTGGCAAGCTGCTTCCGCTGTTTTTGGATGTTAGGAATCTCCACCTAGAAAAAAAAAAACACCTCACACCAATTGGGATGAGCTTCAGGTTTCTGGCTGGACATTTAAAAGTGTGGGATTTATTTACAAACTTCTTTTCTCTTAGGCAAAGGGTTATGAATGATCAATTCACTCCCTGCACCTCCAAAAAGAAGTGAACGTCAAAGGCACTGACTACTGTTAAAGGTTCAGACAGAAGAACCACCTGCTGCCCAGCCTGCACGGAGACACCCACCTCTGCTATGCCACACAGGGGGTCCACAATCTCCTTCTCAACAAAGACCTCGTGCTGAGAGAGTTCTAGAGCCAGCTGATTCTCGGCATCTCCACACGTCTCTAGCATCCTCCTTCAAAAACAAGATGCCCCACAACAAACACATGTTCACTGAATAGGCACCTCGTGACCACAGCGAGCCAGTTCTGCCCTCCCTCCAGATGACAGGAGCACACAGACAACCCTGCCCATCCACTTCCCCTGACCCACACGGCGCCTGGCTTGCATTCTAAAAGCAGCGCCTCTTACCCCAGGAGAGAGTCTTCCAGCTGTGCCGATGCCTCCTGCATGTTCTGGGCAAGAGCTGTCAGAGGGAGCTTTTTCTGGAAGGCAAAAGACAGTGCGTTTTTTTATTAGCGGCCACACCCATTCTATTACCTGCTCCAGATCATCATTCACTGGTTTCTTCTCCAGGCAAACCACACCGGTAAGAGACAGCCTGTGTGGGTGTGGCTCTGGTCTCAAAAGTTAGGCTCTGTGTCAGTCTCCCCATGCCTGGAATATAGGGATGAGAGCAGCGTGAGGTCCCAGGCTGTCGCTGACCCGAGGAGATGCTCAGTACCTAAAACTACCTAGCTAAATTTCCAAAGAAACTTTTTAAAGGTTTTTCAACACAAAGCCACCTATTTTCCTATCAGAGATTTGTTTTTCAGTTGGAAATGACTATATAATCATCTGATTAGTGTTCTAACTGCACAGTCAAGGAACCTGAAGGCTGGGAGGTGGGATGGCACAGCCAGGCACCCAGGGGAAGGAAGGCAGAGCCAGACCTCGTGCTGGTGGTCTGAGCCCCGGGTTATTTTTCCACCACTGGCATATCTCAGAATGTAGGTAAAAGAGGAGGGAAAGGAACAAGTTGGTTGGTTACACCACCACAACCAACTCACAGAAACTGCTTTCAATGTTGTAGTGTCCCATGTAACCGCCTTCCCCCTAGAAAGGGCTCTCACACTAGACCAGGATCCACCTCAGTAGGGCACTGTGCCCTGACCTCAGGCATGTCCCCTGCCCCCCATCTTTCCTGCTTCCATCTGACACGCTTACACCGTATTTGCTTGTATTGCAGAGAATACCTCTGGGAGGCTATATAAGGAATACTGGTGGTTCTGGAGAGGCAGCAGGGTACTGGGGAAACAGGATTAGTTGAGACCTCACTTTATGTTCTTTTGTATATCCTGAATTTTGACCATGTAAATGTATAGCCTCTTCCAAGCAGTACATTAAAATTTAAAAGTAACAAGTACATTTACACCTCCCCTCTCCCCCATTACTTTCCATGAGTACCAGGCTTCCCCTGCCCCGTGCTGGCTCCATGCTGGATGAGGAAGACCTGGGAGAACGGGCAGCCTGCTGGGATCGCAACAGAGGGCGAGGCACACGCTTGTTTCTAATCCTCAACAAAGGTATTTTCCCACTGCTTTTCGGGCGGCGGGGGGGGAGGGGGGGGAAACATCCATGGGAGAGAGACACATCGATGGGCTACCTCCCGCAGGCGCCCCAAACAGGGCCAGGGGTCGAGCCTGCAACCGAGGTATGTGCCCTTGATCTGGAATCAAACCCCGGGCCCTTCAGTTGCAGGCCGACACTAACCACTGAGCAAACTGCCTAGGGCGCTCACACGTTTTAGTCATGCTGCCTCTCCAAGAGAATTTCATGTAAGTAAACATAATAACCAAGAGAAATATACTTGGTGCAACCCCAGAGGTCTACGGGTCCTTGAGAAGAGTCCCTGTTGGTATCATTCCAGCTGCCAGCTGTCAATAATGGCCTGTGGCTTCTCTGTTCTGACCCCAAAGCCACAACAGTCCTGTTTCCTGATGTCCAAAAATAAGGACATTCTGCTTATTTAGCACGTGAGCTCATTAAAGAAGATGCTGTCCACCAACATCAAACTCCTCCATGGAGAGGGCTGAGGCCTCCCAGGCATGAATGGCTTTTTATCACCAGGACTCACTGAAAAAGCTCTAAAGTCGTGATTTATAAAATGCATGCCAACTGCACAAAAAGAAGCAATTCCAGATCTGATGGAACATAAGCTCTGCCATGTCCATGGCTTGGGCTGAGGCCACTTGCCTGCCTCTCTCCTCAATTCTTGCCTGTTCACACGAGTGGGAGTTACTGGTGGGGCTCTTGGGGGCTCCTCCTGTATTCCCTAGAGCCCTAGAGACTACGAGACTACTGTAACTTTCTCCATATCATATAACCTCTTCTGGTCACCTCTCTCTTATCATTTCTATGGTCACTCCTCCTTCCCTCTCGTAGAGTGCAGACTTCCTCAGAGCCTACTCTTGGGCACTTCTGTTTGAGTTGGAAAAGGAAGCCTAAGGCATTAGGTTTTAGAAATGAGGGCCAGGTACCCTTGCCACTGCTCCCTGGAATATGCCCATCACCTGCCACTCATTTCCCTCCTTTACAGCTAGGATACCTCCTCCTCCAGGAAGCCTCACCTGACTACCCCTCTCCTCCTCTGGTACCCATTCTTGGCCCTCCCATAATACCCTGGGCATAATTTGTTTAGCATGTTATTTATAATTACCCATGTGTGTGTATCTCCCTCACCAGGCCATGAGCACCTTCAAGGTGGAGACGACCTGCTGTTCATTTTATACCTCCAGCACTTGTGCACAGTATGTCTTGTTCCTTCTGTGTCTGCTTTGAGACACAGCCCAGCTGTCACGTATCTTCATTAGACATAAACAAATGAACATTTATCAAACACCTCACTGTGTAAAGGACAGTGGCACACAGCATGGAGGAAGGAAGCAGAGACAATGGGACTGATGAGGGAAATCAACCAGATTATCAAGGGTTTAGGTCAAGCTGAAGAGCTTAGACCTAACCCAGGCAAGGGAAACAGGATGTCCCAGACAGGCACTGCTGGCACTCGTCACTTCTTGCAGAACTATCCCTCCAGACACTGCAGAAGTTTGGCATCTTGGCCCCTATACTCCAACTGCCAGTAGCGTACCCGTCCCTATGACAAACCAAAACTGTTTTTACTAGACCTTTCTAGATACCCCAGGAGTGCAATGTGTCCCCAGGAGAACTAAATGAGGGTTGTCTCTTCCTTTGCTTTTAAGGCAGGAGGATGACAGGATCAGCCTGTACTCCAGGAAACCAATTGTGGTGATCAGGCTGAACACATTCTGGAAACGAGGGGTCAGGGCAGGAAACAAACTCCAAGGGGCCTACAGCAGTTCAGTGAGAGGGCGGTGGGTCTCCCATTCAGGCGGGGTGGTCAAACTGGGGTGGAGGTGAGGAAGGCAAACACCACTCACAGAGAATCACAGGACTTGCTCATCAAGCTGCTCTCGGACAGTGCAGGCAAACTGAGGGGACATAAGATACCCCGCAGTCTCCAGCCTGCATGCCAGGGGGGTGGAATTCAGTCACCACAGAAGGAAGAACTGGTCATGTAGGGAGGACTTTCTGCCTGGTTGACAATAGTTTAGAAGTCCCTGTATATACAGTGTATACAGCATCAGTTAGAAGCCATGAGACTAGAGCAGGTGGCCCAAAGCATGTGACTGCGAGATGAGGACAGACCTCAGGAAACAACATACAAGGGCACGCAGAGTAGAAGCCATGGCAAGAGGGGAGGTGCGGTGAGGGCAGCACCAGTGCCCTGGGCTGATACTGAAGGGCGGGACCTGTGGCAGCCACTCCTGGGATAGTAGGTGTATGCACACCTCCGCCCCTTGACATACACACTGCAGAGTGCTCGGTGCTGTGGGACAGGAATGACTCAACTGTCAAGATGCCCTATAAATGTCTGTAGAAATATAAAACAAGGGTGACACGGGCCATCTTTGCACCAGCCCTTCCTTTTGAGATGCCTGGTAATAAACTTAACGATATAGCGAAAAGGCTTCTCACTCCATTAAGACAAGCACTGGAAGCCCTGGCCAGTGTGGTTTCGTTGGTTGGGTATTGTCTGGTGCACCAAGAGGTTGCCGGTTCAATTCCTAGTCAGGGCACATGGTTGGGTTGTGGGCTCAACCCCAGCAGGGGGCATGCAGGAGGCAGCCAACTGATGTTTCTCTCTCTCCTCCTCTCCCTTCCTCTCTCTAAAATCATTAAAATCATATTTAAAAAAAATAAAGACAACCCCTGGAAAAGATGCTTCCTACTCCAGCTGGACACACACAAGCGAGAGAGAGCCTGGGAAGCTGCGGACAGCCAACCCACAACTAGGAGGGGTGCACACTTAGGGGTCAAAGGGACACTGGAGAAGGGGGACAGGGGAAAGACAGACACTGGGCTTTTGGTCACGTCACTGAAATGCTGGACCAAGCCTTACCTCAAGTCCATCTCAACTTGTGGATTTCTCAGTTAATAAGCCAATAAATTTTACTTTCTAAGTGAGTTTCAGACAAGCCTTCAGCTTTTTGGCATCACAGGATCCTGACATGCCCATTCTCTAATCAATGACAAGTGGTTCAAGTCAAGAGCACTGGCGTGGGCAGGGCTTTCAGCTCAGTGATGTCTTAAGCACAAAAGAATGTGAAGGGCAGGCAGGTGTTGTGAGCATGGATGTGATACAAGGTACAAATCTGCAGGTGAATCTGCTGATGCTGCCTGGGGAAATCCAGCCCATCCAAGAACACAGCCACTCACAACCCCGGAAACTCACGTGTCTCCTGTCAGCATCCGTGCCATGCTGGCCCTGGAAGCAAGCCGCTAGGCGCTTGTGAGAGTGGTGGCACATTGACCGCACTGCATCCAGGCGCCGCTCGATCTGGCAAAACAGAGACATGGGAGCCATTTGCAGGGCTCAAGAACAAACTCAGCCTCTTCCTTCTGTGGTGTCTGTACCGGGCAGTAAACGCACCCTGCGGGCAGATTTGTGGCTCTCGGGTGTTCACTGACTCCAGGTTTCTCACTACTGACACCAGGCCGGATAACTGTGGGCTGTGAGCAACTGTCCTGTGCATTACAGGATGTTTGGTATCATCTCTAGCCTCTACTCACTGGATTCCCATAGCTGTGACAACCAAACGTGTCTCCAGATAATGTCAAATAAGCCCTCGGAGGGCAAAATTACCTTTGGCTGAGACCCACTGACCTGCCTTCCTCTGAGGGTTTTAGGTCCCTAAGAGGCTGAATCTAAACCTGCCCTCAGAAACAGCAGTGGCAGCAAAGTCACACACCACATACAGCATAAAGGGACAAGCCACAGGGGCTCAGCAGCTCTCTCCTGCTGTAGCAATGCAGCCTTCCACGCGGGACAGCAGGCAGAAGAGACACCATGGAATGCCCTGCAATTTAACCTCAGGGTCAGTGTTTTCAAAACTATTCCTTATTGGGCTTGGGGTGGGAGTTTGTTTTTGTTTTTCAAATAAACCTCTAAAGCAGAATGGCAACCAGTAGTAAGAAGCACTGACTTAGGTGACCCTCGCATCATGATTAGCTTCCCCAAATATTATTGCTGGGCTATGGCTGTTTATGGCAAAAGGAGCTGTTTACAGGAAAGAAGGAATGCCAAAACTGTGTATTCTGATGATTCATTAAAAATGAGAGCAGGCCCTTAGGGATGCTTTCTATTTTAAAGAAAAATCAACAAATTTAAAGTAGAATACACTTTTACCCCAAGACATTCTACCCAACAAGACGGTTCTGTCCTCCGTCTCTAAGGCCCTCATGGCACAAGCAGCTTGCGTCCAGAGGCAAGTTGGCGGGTAACCAGGGCCCCGGTCTGGAGGCACGTTTACACTTAGCAGCAGATGCCACATCAGCTTCCCTAAAGCTTACAAACATCAGAAAACTAATACACACTCTTCACCTGCCACAAAAGCATAGGGAAAACCCCCAAAACTCCATTTCATTTTGACTCCCATTTCCACTAAAATGTACAGTCTGCAGGGCCAGGGCCTTGGTTGCTTTGCTCACTATTTACCCCAAGTGCCTGGAACGCTGTCTGGCACACGAATGGAAAGCACTCACATAATATCTGTTGAAAGGACATATATGTACTGAGTCCTTGTGCAAGGTATTAGAAAAACAATGGTAAAAAAATGGTGGTTCCTTCCTCCTGGGAATCACACTTACCCTAGGAAACAACAAGCTACATAAAAAGGCAGCCTCTTCAACTGCTCTCAAGGACATCCAAGAAATGATGCAGGACTGCGATTCTTACTGGTATGCTGCAAGAATTTTTAAAGCCTGCAGTACCTATTTAGTCAGGGGCAATGACCTCTTTCCCTTTAGGTTGTCAAATTAAAAAATGACAATAACCAACAATAACAGCCATCTGGTGTAAATGAATCAAAATTATATCTTTTTTTTGTCAGATGGGCAAAAAATGTAATTTTTTGGGATGCCACATAATTATAGTAATTAGTTTATGTGCCATGACATTAAAAAGGCTGAAAAATCTTCCTGGCTGGTGTGGTTCAGTGGTTAGAGCATTGGGCTGCGAACAAAAGGGTTGCGGGTTTGCTCTGTCTGGTCGGGGCACAGGCAGGAGGCAACTAGTTGATGTCTCTCTCACATCAATGTTTCTCTCTCTCCCCCTTCCCTCCCATTCATTCTCTCTGAAAAGCAATGAAAAAAATATCCCCAGGTGAGGATTAACAAAAATAAAAAATAAGATAAATAAAAATTTTTAAAAATTAAAAAATAAAAAGGCTGAACAGCGCTGACATAGGAGGACACAGAGCAAGTTAATGGAAGTTTCACACCAAAAGCAAAATCATCTCTGTAGCCGCAACAGTGGGGAAAAAACTACCAATCACCATTCAGCATAACCTTGTGCCAGGCTCCACCCCTGACTCTCCACATCTAACTTATTAAACCCCAAAAGCCCTGTGAGGCAGACACAGCAATTACCTGCCTTTTAGAAAACGGAGGCACCGGGCAGTTAAGTAAATCCCTGAGGCCACAAAGCTAGGCAGGGGCAAACCTTGAGTTCGAATCCAGGTAGCTCACTTTTAAGCACCACTCTCCTTCTTTACACTTAGAAACAAGAGAAATGAGGAAAACATCTGTAGCAATGGCGGACCTGGCGTGGATATCTGTGTTGTACAGTAAGAAGTTCCTAGAACCTGGCACACACTGCAGGCCCCAGCAGACGTTTGGGCAAAGGGACAAGACCAGATGCCACGCCTGCATCCGGAGGCCTGGGCCTGGGGCTTGGGGCCTGGTCTCTGGGTCCCAGCACCGTGAGGCTGTGCATCACTGACGTGGGCATGGTGGGGAGCACCAACACGAGAGCCAGTGCACTTAAAGCTCAACTGCACCCAACAATGGTTCTGAAAGTCTGAGAATGAGCTGGGAATATACGGCAAATAACAATGAGGAAATACTAAGAATATGATTCTTTAACAAAATCCTTCTATCCCTTGATGAAAACTTCTAGTCCTCAAAAAAAAGAAAAAAACAAGTGTTCTTAAAATAGTCTACTGCCAACGGCTGTCGTAAGGTAGGACGCTGGGCACGATGCGGTGGAAGCAGCATTTTTAAAAATTACGCTCCTTCTTCTGCAGGAAGAGACAGAAAGTCACCTGGGAGCAGGTCTTTGGTCCTCGGGGACTCCCTGGACCAGGCCTGCTGCAGGTTATGGAAATGAGAGGCAAGGAGACAGGTGGAGGAGCGCCTGGTGTGGGTGGGGCTGGATGCGGTAGGGTGAGGTGATGTGTATCAAGGATCTAGGGCCTTCTGGGAGAAACCCAGGCCCCAAGTTAGGGAAACCTATTGAGAGATGGAGGCGAGTGGGCCTGGCTCAGGTCCCGGGCAGGAAATGCCCCTCCCTACAAAGAGGAAAGAAAGTTTGAGCTAATGACTTCAGGCCACCCACCACGGTTCTGATACATCCAGTCACTGTCACTGAGACCCTGAGTCCCTCAGGGCCCAACTCAGCCCAGAGTAGGGAGCCAGACTGTAAGAGGGAGCAAGGAGTCCAAACTCTAGGTTGAAGCCAGTGGGGCCTCTCTCATCAAGGACACCATCACAGCAGCAAACTCAGTCACTCCACCTGCCCATGACCTATGACCAGGTCACAGCGCAAGGACAGGACCAAGCCAACCAACCCCTGCCCCCACTCCAACACCTGGCGCTGGAGAGCAGGACCAGCCCCCTGTGAACTTCACAACAGACACCAAAGTTTCAGATCCCCTTCAATACCATGTAACTCAGAGGCTATTCTTTCCTGCTCAAACCATGCTAACCAATTTTATTGTTTCGGGTTAAAAAAAACCCATAAGCTTCAGTTCTCACCTATGAACTTTTTTAAACATGCCTTTAAAAAAAACATTTTTAAAAGACTAAATTTAGTTACCTGTAACAGATCTTCACTGAGGACTTCTGTTTTCTCGGCTCTGTAGGAAAAATTAAAAGTTCAGAGTTAGAGATCCAGAAATGAAAGCAACTCAAGATAACTAATAATTATTACCCCAGAATTTAAAATAAAACAGGCAGAAATGAATATAACAAGGGGAGAAATTCTACAAACTTTTACGTCAAGGGGCAACTTAAGCAAAACCAAAACCAAACAAACAATGAAAAAAAACCACCAAAGTTTACAGATAATAGCTCCCAGAGCTCACTCACCTCAGGAGGTTTACCTCAGTAGTTCAGGAAAAGCTGCTTCCTTCCTAGCAAGCTCTGTACCCCAGAAGCCCCACGGAAACCCCAGGGGGAGAAGGCTGCCCTGGAGAAGTTTGAACCTCAATTCTAAGACTCCAAGTCTGAGTTTCACAGCCATGCTGAACCCAGTTAGTCACAAAGGCAGGGGCACTATGCAGGGATGCAGGACAGTAACAAACCGTGCACCCTCCCTCGATTTCTCATCTTTACTTTAAAAAGTTATTTTCACAACTCTCCCTCTTTCTTGCTTTAGGACTCCTGTTAACGCCACTGACCTTCCAGAAAACCAATATGGTGGCCAACAACCAGCAGAGGGGCTATGGCATCCAGACCACAACTTTGTAAGAAGACTTCTCTGTAGCTCCAAAGGGCAGCATGTTGCTATATTATACCCAGAATTACTACAGTCTGAGTGTCACATGGACTCCTGACTCAAATAGCAATTTAAACCAAGTCATTTAACAGCCCCACCAAATTCTCTTAGAAATTAACGAGGACATTTCCACGAGAAAAGAAAGTCTGGTGCAGACCTCACCATGGGGGAGTGGCGGAGAAAGGGAAGGCCACTGCTAAGCCAGACATCCTGAAGCCTTTTTATAGACACACTACAGAATAGAAAGCCGCATATCTTGCCCATGAACTAATGTGAGAGAAGGGAAAGCCATGTGACCAGAAAGTGAATGGAACCCCCTAAAATGACCTCAAAACTGCTGAGCTCCAACACTGGCTGTGACACCGTGTCTTCTCTGGCCAAGACCTTGAGACCCAAGCAGGGCCCTGTCCACCACCACAGAATCCTGACACCTTTCCTCTGCAGAGTAAGTGTTCACAGAGGAAAGTCACAGCTCCTCTTAACAAACAGCGGCCCCTCGAACAACTTAAGGGTCAGGAGCACCAAATTCCCGCATAGCCACAAACCCAGGTAAGTCTTCACTCTCCAAAACTAACTACGAATAGCCTACTTGACCGGGAGCCTTACCAAAACATAAACAGTCAACACATATTTTGTATGTAAGATGTACTATATACTATATTCTTACAATAAAGAAAATATTAAGAAAATCATAAAGAAAATACATTTACAGTATTTATTGGAAAAATATCCTTAATTAAGTGGATCCATGCAGTTCAAACCCAGGGTCAACTGTATTCCTAAATTCAAAAGAAGAGATTCAGAGCAAATGTGGCCTCTAATTCCAGTGTGCGCTATTAGCAGTGGTACGCTAGGGGCTGGCTCAGGAGAACCACATGTGTGCATCTTTCCCTAGCCCCTTGTTCAGTGACCTCACATTGGTAATTTAAAATAAAAAATAAAATATAATACAAACAAATATTGTTTGCAAACAATATAAATCAGGGCTTTTGGGGAGTGGGAGGGGATTCAGATGTTAAAACATTTATGAGCACAGCACCGCAATAGCCACATACACAAAAAAACAAATGTAAAAGCAAAGCAAGTATTAACTTCAGAAACAGAGTCCATCAGAAAGAGAATCATAGTACACTACTATGCTCACCTTCAAATAACTGATTCACTATGATAATATATCAAATAGTAATATATCCAAAAATTGTAATGTAACTGTATTGGCAGGATAAGGGACCAGAAGCACAGAGGAAGGTTACACAAGAGCCCTAAACCCTCATTTATCATCATAAGAGGTCAATAAGTTATACCTAAGCTTCATAACTCAAAGGGCAGCAGTTTACACATATTTATAAACATGAATCAGTAAACGCCGGAACAAACAGCTAAAATTAGAAAGGAGTTGAGGAATCTCTTTGGTTGAGGAATCTCAATTGGGAGAGTGGGGTGTGTGTGGGAGAACCCACTCTACTTTGTGATAAGCCTTTTATGATTATTTGATTTTCTAAACTACTCAGATACGTAGTTTCAAAATTTTAAGAACAGTACATTAGTTACATTTTCAAGTAACATGCTTGATCTGATTTAAGTGAAGCATAACTAACTCTAACTTTAAAGCATTGGGTCCAACTGCCAATCTAACAGAAGTACGACAGAACACATCTCAGAGTATCCAAAATACAAGGCAACTCAGCATATTAATTTTCCTATTTACAAATTAACAAGTGGACCCTTTGCTTTAAATTTAGGGGCCTTTTACCTGAAGGCTGGAGGCTGAAAAATATGTAGAACATATATGAATATGTGAACATACTGTTCAAAAATAAGTTTGGCACTATGTTTCCCGCCTTTGTGGACATTTTGTATATTGCATTGATAAAATTATTTTTAGAATAAAATTATTTTTAGAAAGAGATCCAATGCATCTTCTTAACCAGATTTTAGGGTTTACTGAAATTATTTAAAATGACCCATAATCAGATTACTTTTTCTCCCAGCTTTACTGAGGTATAATTGACAAACAAAACTGTATCTAAAGTACACAATTTGATGATTTGACTTACATTTTGAAATGATTACCACAATTGGATTAACAGATTCATCCATTACCTCCCATAGTTACTGTTTTTGTTATAGTTGTTATAAGAAAGCTTAAGATCTACTCCGTTAGTAAACTTCCAGTGTATAATACAGTACTATTAACTGTGGTCACCATGCTGCACGTCAGATCCCGGAGCTCATTCACTGTATAACTGAAGGCTTGTATCACAACTTTGACATCACAACATCTCCCCATTCCCCTCACTTCCTAGTCCCTGGCAACTATCACTGTACTGTTTCTATGAGTTCAATTTTTTTTTCTTTCTTTTTGGAGTCCACATGTAAGTGACATGATACAGTCGTTGTCTGTGTCTGGCTTATTTCACGTAGTATAACGTCCTCCAGGTTCACGCATGTTGTTGCGAGCGGCTGAGTGATACTGCATATGTGCAAGCACTACATCTTTGTCCAGCCGCACAATGGTAGCTCGTTTTCATATCTTGGCTACTGTGCATAACGCTGCAATGAACGTAAGAGTGAAAATACCTCTTTGAGATACTGACTTTGTTTCCTTCAGATACACACCCAGGCCTGGGGCTGCTGTATCATAAAGGAGGTAGTTCTATTTTTAATGTTTTGAGGAACCTCCATACTGTTTTCTGTAACGGTTGTACCAATTTACACTAACAGTGTGAAAGTGTTCTAACTTCTCCATATCCTAACATTTGTTATTTCTTGTCTTTTTGATAACAGAGACCCTAACAGGTGTGAGGTGACATCTCATTGCAGTTTTTCATATACCAGCTGGCCACCTGTGTATCTTCTTTGGAAAAATGTCCACAGTCATGCCCTGCATAATGGCATTTCCGTCAACAGCAGACAACACATAGGACGGTGGTCCTGTAAGATTGTAACAGAGCTGAACAATCCCCATTGCCTAGAGACGTTGTAGCATTGTGATGCTGTAGCCATGTAACAGTAGCATAAAGGTTGCAAACATCAACAAGGCTGTGGTTGTGATGGCAAACGGCTTAAGCCTGGATGTGGATAGCGGTGACAGAGAAGCACTCCTAGCACTGGTTCCTGAGTAACCGACTGGTGAGGAGCTGTGGGAACTGAACAGGAGTACAGTTGAAGAGGCGAGAGAGAAGGAAGACGCAGAAGAAACCTCCCCAAGAAAATGCAGAGAAGGGTTCAGCGGGAGCTTCTGCAGAACCCAACAAGCTCCTTAAAATGTCTTAAAAACACGGACCTCAACACGGAAAGGTTTTCATGAATAGAGAGGAATGTTCACAGTACATTATCTCCTAATAAGCAGACCTATGGTGAACAAAAGAAACAAACCCAAGCAAACACTATGGACCTATTTCTGAAGAGTGACATCTCAGGAAGGGCCTCAGGCAGGTCCTTTGGGAAGTGCTCCAGAAGGAGGCGTGACAACTCCAGCACAGATGACAGTTCCATGTGTTGTTACCACTGAAGATCTTCCAGTGGGCAAGATATGGAGGTGGAAGAGGTGATCCTGACCCTGTGTAGGCCTAAGCTAGTGTGTCGTTTTTAACAAAATAAGTTTAAAAAAAAAGATGGTTAACAAAAAAATGTTGATTAATAGACTGTTCCAGAACATTTGTATACCCTCCCTCCCCCAAAACAGAAAAATGGCTCATAAAGAACTGACCCAGTCCTGCAAATGCCATTTGTGGTAAGTGCCCTACACAAGTGTTCCATATTTTATCTTTTATACTGCATTTTCATTGTGCCTTTCCTGTGTTTATATTTTTTTAAATGACTAGCACTTACCACTGTCATAACTGCCTATAGTATTCACACAGTAACATGCTGTACAGCCCAGGAGCAATAGGCTAGACCACATAGTCTAGGTGTGTAGTAGGCTATGCCATCTGGCTTTATGTAAGTGTATGCAATGATGTCCGCATGACAACGAATTTCTCAGAACATATTCCACTGTTAAGTGACGCATGACTGTACTTAGGTCCTCTGCCCGTTTTTATGTCGGGTTACTTGGGGGCGCTTTTTTTGCTATTGCTTTGTATGAGTTCCTTGTATTTTCTGAGTATTAACCCCTTATCAGATGTCTGTAAATATTTTCTCCCATTCTATAAGTTGCCTTTTCATTCTGTCGACTGTTTCCTTAGCTGTGCTAAAGCTTTTATTTTTATTTTTTTAAATATATCTTTATTGATTTCAGAGAGAGGAAAGGAGAGGGAGAGAGAAAGATAGAAACATCAATGATGAGAGAGTCACTGATCGAGCCCGCAACCCGGGCATGTGCCCTGACTGAGAATTGAACCCCGATTGCCTGGATCCTAGGTTGATGCTCAACCGCTGAGCCATGCCCGGCCAGGCGCTAAAGCTTTTAGTTTGATGTCCCACTTGTTTACTTTTTCTTTCGCTGCCAGTGCTTTTGGTGTCATTACTCATTAGATCACTGCCAAGACCAATTTCAAAAGCTTTCCCCTGGTTTCTTCTAGGAGTTTTATGGTTTCAGGTCTTACATTTTACTTTATCCATTTTGAGTTAATTTTTGTGCACGGTATAAGGCAGGAGTTCAGTGTCACTCTCTTGCGTGAGGCTGTCCATTTCCCCCACACCATTTGTTGATGAGACTATCCTTTCCCTATTGCGTACTCTCGGTGCCCTTGTCAAAGATGAGCTGATCATATAGGTGTGGGTTTATTTCTGGGCTCTCTATTCTGTCCCACTGTCTATATGTCTGTTTTTATGCCAGTACTATACT